AGTTTATTGGATAGAAACGTAATAAAATACGGGGATAGGCACTTGAGGTCTTACGGAATTGATATGCCCTGGTATCAGTATCTGTTGCTAGATGTTGCAGTTGGATACGCGTTACTTTTCGGATTTCTTATCTACTAATTAAAAGAGCATTCGTGTATGTTTCGGCTAATGCTCAAAATTGGATTGGTACAAGTAAAATAAGAAAAAACACATTAAATAAGGCAATTGTTTCTATAAAACTAGAAATATTTGCCTATAACAATGTATCAGTGAAATGTATAAGAAAAGCTTGTTTCTTTCCATATGGTAAACCTTTATCTTCTCTCTCTCTCTCTCTCTCTGTGTCTCTCTATCTCTCTCTTTTTCCCTCTTTTTGTATATTTTTCATTATAGCATCATATTAATTGTGATAATAGTAGAAATAGCAATAAAACGGAGAGATATAAGAAATTAGTACTTTGATCCACAGATATTAATACATCTAGTAAAACTAGTGAGCATTAGTAATAAATTAACTTAAATAGGTTCGCAGTGAGTCGACAGATAACAATATTTTTATCTTTATCATACGAATATATTCTTCACGTTAAAATGTTGGATACAAGTAGTTTCGCTGTGGCTTATTTGCGTTATTCATTGCGGCTACAGCCCGTTAAAAATTGATATAGATAGGAACTACCTGTTTTAGTCACGAAGAGCTCAGCCAATACAATGGAAAAGATGTAAATATTTTATTAAATGTTTATTAGAATACTGTGTGAGAAATTGAACATATATATTGTATATAAACTTATCTCTATTTGCAACAGACAGAAAAGCCGTATATTTGGCTGTTAAAGTGTGTTTTCGATTTCCGAAGGAAGACGATTCTACGGCCCTGTGGAAATTACCACATGATGGCTGGAAAAGATTTCTAGGGCAATGGCTACCCAAGAATTAATGGACCAAGATATGACGCATGACGTTGTAAGTTGGCATATTTTTTTTCTAATTTCTTATCTGTTACATTATATCATTATATTTTTAGTAAAATAACATTTATTTTACTTGAAACAATAGTAAAAACTTTCTTTTTTGTTCTATTAAACTATCTATCTGACAGGCAGGATTGTCGGATGATCAACTGCAAAGCTTGGATAATATGTTTACAAAGCTATATTTAACAAAGTATAAGAAAGTTGGTTACATGCAGTATTTGTTAGAAGAAAATGGTAAAACGGAACTTTGATGTTGACAATATTTCCTTTTTCTTTTATTTTTAAAATTATGACATTTTTCATTAATAAATTATAAGTAGACGTCTTTTTTTCTCCCATCTTAATTCGCATTTTATCGCCCAACCATATGAAAATTAGACAACAAATAACTTACAATGTACAGTAGTGTTTTGTATATAAAACGCTTACGATGATGATATTGTTATTATCGTAATAAGTTCTGTAAATAAAAACAACCATCTCCTACATCAGTTGATCTAGATTTAATTAGCCTCGTCTCTCTTAATGACACCTAATAATCTTACTAAGAAAATTATTAATTCAAATGATATGATGGAATATTTGTTGTATTACTTTGAAAATGATAATGATAATAATATAGTAATAGGAATAATAGAAAACATTAGTGATTTGTTCAATCAACATGATAGAACTATTTCTTTTTATCAACAAAATTACAATTCTTTCGGTTACAAACAATTTGGACGCTTATATAAAAGGCCTTTGAAAGGCATTTCCCTAAACAATTTACTTTATACGGATCTTTCGAACTGTATACATGGCCCATTGTACAATAAGTTAAATACATCTAAAACTTAACCTTATTCTCTTCTTTTATCATGTATACAGAAGAAACAAAAACATTTATTAGTATTTTCAACTAATACCTGTACTATAATCAGTTGACAAAAAATTCACTTTTTTATAATTAGTCATCGAATCATCATAGTCATCATTATCTGAGGAATCTTCATCGTCATTACTTGAATTTCTTTGCCCTCGTCTTCGTCGATTTTCTGCCATTGAGGATGATCAAGGACTTGCTTAGCTTTTTTAACATCCAACTGTGGTTAAGAAAACAAAAAGTGTACATAATTCTGCTTACAACTTTTTTAAGAGTCGCATAAAATAATTTTTCTACATAAATTTCTGATATAAAAATCTTTACCTTTATGTTTTGGTTAGTCGAAACTCATGTAAGAATCGCTCATTAAACAAACAGAATAGTATATACATCAGGCTTTGTAGGAGCCGCGAATTGTAACTCCACTTCCTCATAATCTTTTAAACTTTGAACATGCTTAGGCATAGAAATGAGCTGCTGTTTTTTTTATCTGCTACGTATAGGTACCACCATTCGTATTTATCTAACGGATAATAGGACAATGAACTAAATGAGTTTCTTTTGATTTAGTTTCAAAGGAATTCTCTTTCTTCTTTCGTCTGAAAATTTTCCTACCCAATCCTCTTCCTCGTTATCGTCCTCATTATTTTCTTCAGAATCATTTGCATCATCTACTGAATCACTGTCATTGTCTTCCTTCTTTTCATTGTTTTGTGATCTCTTTGCTTCTGGACTGTCTTCGAATCTTATCACTTTCATCACTTGCCCCACTCTCATTCTCATCTTTTTTCTTTATTTTATCTTCGATGCTACCTCAGCGAGCTTTTCTGTTCTATTCACAACAGGTACAAGAACCGTGCGTGTTCCTAAATGTACAGAAGAAACAGTATAGTTTGAATAAAGATTTTATATTCTTTAAGATATTTTTTACCTGCTTTTCGGCTTTTTAGCTTTTTCTTTTTCGTTTTCTGAGCTTTCTGCCACAAAGGTTTTGTTTTTCATCAACTTTTTCCTTTCTTCTTCCATCTTATCTCCAGCGTCTTCTCTTTTCTCATCTTCTTCATCACTCTCATTTGGTTCTAATGTTTTCTTTCTAGAATCACACGAACTGTTACAATAGAATTTGCAGTAATTGAATTATCCTCTTCATCGTTAACGGCAACCTCCGCTTTTAAATCTATATCGCATTCTTGCGCAAACATTCATCACGTCTCTATTTAAAAAAGAATAACAAAAATTTTAAACAATTAATTAATTAATTCTAAAAAAATATTAAGTAATGGAAAAATTGTTAAAAATCTTACCTATATTCAGCATCACTTAAGGTTCTTAATAACGCTCGTCTTTCTTTACTTTTCATTTCTACAAATTGTTTAATTGTCTTTATACATCTACGTTTCGTTACAAAATGGATAGCGTTTTTCGTTATATGGGTAATTGCAGCAAGGACTTTTTGTATCCCACAGGCTTGAACTAACATTTGACAAATTTTTATACAATATTCAACAGTGTTCAATCTTGGAGCTTTAGTTGCATATCTGGCGTCGTTTTGAAATAACTAATAACTTGAGTAATCACTTTTATCATTTCATTGACCAGATTTAATGACTTTCCTAAAACGTAGTTTTTATCATTCTCTAACGTTGTAGGAGGAAGGGATATTCTACCCAAATGAGCGTGAATTAAAGCTCTAGCTTTCAAACTATAAGATAGATTAAATGGCTTTTCCTTATTCTTTTCATTAAGATTAGGTAATTCTTTCATCAATTGAGGTATTTCTATATTATCCGATTCTCTGTCAATGATATCCTTGTTATAGAATTTAGAAAATTCAAAGCTGCCGCCTAATATCATTAAAATTCTTTTCAGAGTCATATTAGGTGTTCTACTAAAAAATTGCCCATAAAATTTCATAGTGTCCAAAAGTACTTGGTCTCCACTAAATTGAATTGAACGATACCACCAAGTACCAACGACAACGGGTAAAATAATCATAAAAACGAGAGCGTATAATCCTAAAACCCACATAGAGTTTTGCTTTTCTACAATCCAGATTGGTAACGCAATACCAAAATTTGTAGCTGTAGGTCCATCAGGATTTCCATATTCCTCCCAATTCTTACGAGACTCTTCGTCTGTCAGAGCTGCATACGCTTTAGCAATTTTCATAAAAGTTTTGTGGTCTCCCCCTTTATCAGGATGGTGTTTTTTACTTAGTTTGCGATATTGAGATTTAATCTCCTTAACTGACGATCCCTGAAAAAATAATAATGAAATTATCCGCATTTAGAAAACTAAGAATTGATTAAAATGTATGTAATAAGGCATTTATATGTATATATTTACTCTTTCCAATTCCAATATTGTGTAAGGGTCATATTCCGAATAGTCTAATTCAATTTGTGATGTTTTATAGGCCAGGAAAAAGAATATGCTCCATCCAATTATTAACAATATAATGCTGTAAAAAGAGAAAGTGGAATATAATTTCTATAATTATAATTAAGATTATTTTTAGAATTGAAAATGAGAAAGAAAACAATAATATAATCTTTATATATTTTTTATCAAGTGGAGAAAAACACTGTTAGCATTGTTTTTCTCATTCTGTTGAATATTAGAGACCATGGAGGGAGGGATTTTTAATTAAAATTACTAACACTAATGGTCGTTTAACTTTTTGTTTTGGTTGAGTGGTTTCCAGTAGCTTCTCTTTATTTAAACAAGGTAAACACCTACAGTCCTTTTCCGAAACTTCTTTATTTTCTAAAGAGAAGAACATGAAACATATTGTTTTAGCAAAATCATCCATATTGATAGGTATTTACCAACCCTTTTTTCGAATAAATAACCATCCATAATAGGTGGCAGGAATCAGCACCAAAACATAGAAAGAAATGAGGAAGTAATAAAACGTTCCACCTTTTTCATCATATTCGAATTTCATGCCGGCCATTTTGATACGTGTTTAAAGGAATGTCTAAAAGGCGGGTGTGATTGAATGCAAGATGAACTGACTTTGCTTTTACAATGACAGATTGATACTGAATTTAACTTATATTTTTCCTAATATTAAATAATAAAAACGTTTGATGAAACAAATATTATTAATTAAAATATATAATAAATCTATTTCATTTAAATAAATACTTTAAATATAAAGCCTTAACAATACTATTTTCATTTGTATTTATGTAACGTTCCTTTCTATATTTATCTAAAGTTCTCTTAAGATTATTAAAACATTCTATATACAGTAGCAATAATAACAATAACAAATAAACTTATTCGATATGGGTATACTATTTTAAAAGTTTTAAACTTATCTAAATAGTATTCAACTACTCTTTTTTCACTCCATGTATAGTTTTTAAGAAAGAGAAATAGTCTTTCCTGTAGTACTGAAGAAAAGAAACATTTTTTTTATTATATACCCCAGTTATCATTCTTATATACCGAGTGCAGAGATAAAAGAATGTATTGAACTTGAACCTCTTAACTCATACATATTCATTTTCAAGTTCTCTATAATTATGTCAACCTAAATCAAAGTAGATATTTATTTAATATGTAAAATAATTCGTTTGCTTATTTGAATTTGTGAGCAGTGCTATGTTACCATCTTATTAATTCACTACTTTAAAGTAGTAATACTGCTCTTTATTTTCTCTTTCCATTGCCGGTAAATTGCAATGTGCTTTCGGGAATAGCTAAATACCACATACAATAAGATTTAGATAGACTTTTACATAATATAAAATAAAAACTGTAAAGTAAATGTCCAAGTGTACATTTTACAAAGAAAAATGCGATATTATAATAGTCTAGATTATCTTTGATGATTTGATATGTTAAATAAGTGTGCTTAGTATATCAAAGTGTAATTTTTTAAAAAATTTTTATCAGAATTCACAAGGTCTTATATGGATCCGAATTCCGCAGAATAGATACGCCTATACAATCAAAAAGCACCACGAGCCAGATTTCAAGTTGACGTGTCTTTCGCTCGCCATTTTTGATGAATTCTGGTTAGACTATTCACACACCCTACGAAGTAGCAATACTCCAGAAAAATCATGAACAAACTCATAAATGCCTGTTGGCTATTAACATTATTAGGTAGCGTTGCTGCATTCTATTTACCCGGGTTAGCACCTGTTACTTATTGCAACAAGGGAGAGAAATGCAAAGTAAGTGTCTTCTTCGAACAATTTTTTATTGTTATAAAAAAATCTAATAACTACTTACATTATTAATTTATGACAGTCTGATATAAAGCTTTACGTGAATCGTCTGGATTCAGTATATTCGGTTCTACCTTTTGAATATACAGCGTAATTATTATTTTATAGATAAAACATTTTTAATAATTTTCTCTCAAGTTATATTGTGTTGTTTCACTGTAAAAATTTCATTATTTGAATTATTTTAGCTTCGATTTTTGTCAAGCGCCGAAAGACGTTATTAACAAAGAATCTCCTGTAGAAAATTTAGGCCAGGTCGTATTTGGCGAGAGAATAAGACCATCACCTTATCAAGTGAGTAATGTTTTGTTCAATAGTTACTTATTTAACTTTTAATTTAGTTTTTACAAGAACAACCGTTGATTTGATCTTTTTATATTCTCTATTAACAGCTTAAATTCAATAAGACGGAAAAATGTCAACATCTCTGTACTAAAACGTATAGTAGACAGAAGAAAGATGATGATAAAAAGTTAAAATTCCTCCAACAAGCTATCTTGAAACATTATAAACATCATTGGATTATTGATAATATGCCTCTAGCTTGGTGTTACAATACTGCTGGTGGTAAACCATTTTGCACAACTGGATTTCCTGTTGGTTGCTATGTAAACAAAAATGGCAAGGGAATGGACCATTGCTCGTCGTCTAACTCGTATAGTCAAGCAAACACATTTTATTTGTTTAATCATGTTGATATTATTATTGAATATCATAATGGTGAAAAAGAAGACTGGGGAAAAAGCCTCAGTGGTACTCCTGGTGGACGACTAATTAAGGCAAAAATAATCCCACGGAGTGTAAAGCATCATCATGATGCGAATGGAGTCCCATATTGCGAAGGTGGAGGCGACTCTCTACCAACTTTTGGCTTTAAAAATACAGATAATGACGTTAAGATTAGTTATACGTATTCTGTTACATTTGTAGAAAATAACACAGTAAAGTGGTCAAGCAGATGGGATTATATATTAGAATCTATGCCACATTCCAATATTCAATGGTTTTCAATTATGAACTCTCTTGTAATTGTTTTATTTTTATCTGGTATGGTAGCTATGATAATGCTGAGAACTTTACACAAAGATATTGCAAGATATAACCAATTGGATAATTCTGAAGATGCTAGAGAAGAATTTGGATGGAAACTAGTTCACGGCGATGTTTTTAGATCACCTCGTAAGGGAATGATTCTCTCAGTTTTTGTTGGAAATGGAATTCAAATTATCTGTATGGTTGTTATAACCCTTTTGTTTGCATGCCTTGGATTTCTTTCACCGGCCAACCGTGGTTCATTAATGACGTGCGTTCTTGTATTATACGTTTGTTTGGGTACACCAGCCGGATTTGTAAGTGCCAGAATATATAAGATGTTTGGAGGTGAAAAATGGAAATCAAATGTCCTTCTAACCGCATTCCTAGTACCAGGAATTACCTTTGGAGTTTTTTTCGTGCTAAATTTGATTATGTGGGGTGAAGGAAGTTCTGCTGCAGTTCCATTTACTACGCTAATAGCTCTATTGGCGTTATGGTTTGGTATATCTGTACCTTTGAGCTTCGTTGGCGCATATTTTGGATTTAAAAAGAAAGTAAGTAGAGAATTTCGAATTTGTTTTGAATGTTTAATGAGATTAAAAAACTTTTTTAACGCTATTAAAATTATCTTCAGGCCATTGAACACCCAGTAAGAACAAATCAGATCCCTCGTCAAATTCCAGATCAATCGTTCTACACTCGTCCCCTGCCCGGGATTGTTATGGGTGGAATTTTACCTTTCGGATGCATATTTATTCAACTTTTCTTCATCCTTAATTCGATATGGTCTCACGAAACCTACTACATGTTTGGGTTCCTCCTACTTGTTTTCGTTATACTTCTCGTAACATGTTCTGAAGCAACGATACTTTTGTGCTACTTTCACTTGTGCGCTGAGGACTATCATTGGTGGTGGCGTTCATTTTTCACATCTGGCTTTACCGCTTTCTATTTCTTTATATATTCCATTCATTACTATTCTAGTAAGCTACAGATTAACACTTTTGTAAGCACTTTTCTCTATTTTGGTTATACGTTTATTATGACGTTCCTATTCTTCATTTTAACTGGAACAATAGGATTCTTGGCATCTTTCTGGTTTGTGCGAAAAATTTACAGTGTGGTTCATGTTGATTAAACAGTTAGCTATTGTTAATAAAAATCGAAATTTGTTACAGATGTCGCCTCGCTGTAATATTTAAATTACTATTTAAAAAATTTGTATTATTTTGGATATTAGTAAATAAACAAGTCAAGAATTTACAATATTATTGTATAGGTTCTTCTCATGATAATATTATCGGTACAAGTACAATATTAAGGGCTACAAACTGTTGGTGATATGTAGTGTGTTATTAAAAAGAATATGCAAATAATTGAAACTATAATAAAGCTGTGCAAGTTGTACATTTTCTGATCAACAGTATATTGTGTTATGTTTAATATAAAGTTTATGCTAACGTCTGTATGAAAACTGTTTTTGTTCTAAAGGTGGTGATTAAGTTGTTTATATTTCTGTTTCTATTTGTCTAATGAAAATTCTGCATCTATTGAAGTTTATATAATTTATACATAACATATCATATGCTAAGGATTGTATATATATTTGTGATATATATATATATATATATATATATCTTTGTATACACATATTCGTATTTACTATAAAAAAGAATCTTTAACAATTTCAATCGCTTCATTGAATCTTTAATTCTTATCCTCAATATTTAGAATTTTGTACATAAGTACTAATATATATAGATATATCTAGGCTGAATTATTACTCAAGGTGAGTTAAATTTTATTGAGTAGATTGATTTAGTGCTATCAGCAATCCGCCAGTCCTTTCGTGCAAGATGGTGCGAACAAAAACTCTAAAAAAATTTATTAGATTCACCCTGTTCGTGACAGCCGCCTGGTTCTTTTTTAATATCTTCTTGGACTCTTATCGAGAAGAAGACTACGAACCGGTTACTTACTCATGGCAAAAGGACATTGAGATTCTTCCCGAAGCCAGAAAACGTCAGGGAGGTGTAGACCACATTCTATTAGCTCAAGATGTTACCCAACCACCGCCACCGTCTACTACTTCAAGAATTCCTACCACAAGAAAGCTTCCTCCTAGGGCACATAAAGGTTTAACAGCTGAAGGAAATGAGTTTCTCTTTGACCAGCAACCATTCAGAATTGCAGGAGGTTTGTTCAATTCTCCTGTTTTCCTTTATATCAGCTCTACATAAATATCTCTGAGAAGAATTTACTGATAAACTTTTTTTAAAACTCTTTCAGGAACTTTTCACTACTTTCGAACTCCTGAATCTAGTTGGTATGATCGATTACTTAAAATGAAGGCTGCCGGTTTAAACACGGTCGTCTTTCCTGTACCTTGGAATATTCACGAAAGAATCAAGGGCAAAAAGAATTTCACCTCGCTTAAGAATTTCTTAGAGATGATAAAGAGCCTAAAACTTTATGTAATTCTTCAAGTTGGACCCTTTGTAGAGAATGGATTGGATTGGGGTGGTTTACCTTCGTGGCTTTTAAAGGAAAATATTAAACATAAAATTAGATCTTCGAACGAAACTTTTTTAAATCCAGTTAGAAGTTATATGCAGGCGTTAATAGACGATATTTTCCCATATGTATACTCTTTCTATGGAGGGCCAATAATAGCTTTTCAAGTTGAACACGGTTTTGGTCTATATCTCAAAGATGATACTTATTTGAATTTTCTCGTTATTCAATTTCGAAAGAATAGTTTAGACGAGATAATATTTCTGGCAGATCGTGTAAATTTTATTGGCCGAGATCGAGTCCCTCAAACGATTAAATGTCTACTAATCGATTCTCCTCATGAAGATATAACTTCGGCTGTCGTAAAGTTAAGATCTATTCAACCAGATGTTCCCGTTCTTCTTATGGCCCTACCAACTGCTCATAACATGAAATGGGCAATGAAATACGAGCAATTGAACCTTACCGAATTTAGAAACAGACTTTATAGAAGCGTTGTTTTAGGAACTTCGTTTGTTTTCCATCCGTTTATCGGAGGGACGAATTATGGATTTAATTCGGGCGCAATTAATTATACAGACTCTCAACTTCAGTTCGACTTGACGACCTTTTTCTCCGATGCACCAGTTACTGAAAGTGGAGAATACGAACAGAAATATTTTGTTATCAGATCGGCTCTTAAAGATACAAAAATTTCTGTTGACGGAGGTCCTCCACCACCTTTAAATTATCCTTCCAGAAATTATGGGAAATATGAAATAACTAGCTATATGCCTTACCAGAGCATTATTGATATTTTAAAGTGACGCCGAACAATTCATCCACAATAATAATTATCATTACTAAATTTAAACTAGTATAGGTGTGAGTATGGGTTGGTGCGTCGATAGGTGGATGCGTGTATGTATATTTGCATATACATATGCGTATAAGCATAAGATTTTTGCTTTCTCTTTAACTCAAATTCGTTTACTATAAGGGAAAAATGAGAGAAAAGGAAAACAAAAACAGCACACCTACACGTGTATATATAAATACACACACATGCATACACACATTCACACATACACACAGACACACACACACACGCACACGCACACATACAAATACACCAACTGCCTCCCTCCCTCATGAAATATTTACATAAATTTAATAGCTCGGCGATACTTTAAAAGACCAACGATGACATCGAAGAGAGACGTTCTTCCCATGGAAGTTATGGGATACGATTTCGGATATATTATTTACAGGACAACATTTATGAGAGGAAAGGAAATGAACTTTATCGGGGCCCTTCATGATTACGGTTTAGTTATTATAAACAACAAAACGTTACAAAAAGTTGACAACATTGTAGCAATACTTAGTAAACCCGTAAGACTGGACAAAGTGACTTTGGAGAAGAGTAACATTTTAGATATATTTATTGAAAATTGCGGAAGAGTTTACGCACCATCAAGATTGAACGATCAAAGGAAAGGCTTAAGAGGTCGTGTATTAATTAACAACGTGCAATTAATTGGTTATAAGATAGGAAACTTGAATTTTAACGAGGTTGGATTTTTTTGTGTGGTGTTTATTATTTAAATATTAAACTAGTAAAAAAAAAGAACAAACATCAATTAAAAGAGAAATACCACACTTTAAAATCCAAAATTGAGTAGAAGTTTGCAAAAATGTTGAATTATTCGAAAAATTGGGAATTCTTTCACGGAAAAATGGAGGCGCCATCGTTGTTCAAGATATCTATTATGATAATCGGCAGACCTCACGATACATATATCGATATGAAACACTGGAATAGGGGACTGGTAATGGTTAATTCAAAAATAATTGGCAGATACTGGAATCGGGGACCTCAGACTAGATTATTTATATCCGAATCATTCATGTTCCCCGGACAGAACCATATTTATATATTTGAATTGCACAAACCTCATTCGAGTGTTAAACTATCAGAGAAATATTCATAGGATAACAAAAAAAGAAAACTCTTGCATACTCTTTTTTTCTGTGTCTAAAAAACATGAAACGATTGCTAATTTGCCTTTTAAAGGCAAGTGTTACTGACAAAAAAATCAAATAAAATGTCTTTTTTTTGGGTTAAATTTATGAACAAAAAATGTTTTCTCTTTTCTTTAACGTTGACAAAAAGGAAACTTTATTTTAGTTTATTGTCGTCTTCCTTTGAAAAATATCAACAAAAACAAAAAGAAAAGAAAGTTTGATATTTAATACAAAAATAGGAGAACAAATACCAGAAAAAAGCAGCAAAATATGTAAATAAATACTTTCGTAAGGGAATGCAAGATGGAACAAAATAAATATAATACAAGTGCACGAATAAAGCTTTTTTCTATAATATAGGGTATATAGACGTGTATATATATACACTATATACTGTATATTGTGTTTTTTTTGCTCCTCTCATTATTTACTTTTTGGTTTTTATGTATAAAATGCCGGGTATCGATCGAGTAAGTATTTGCTTTCTTCTTAATCTTCTTTCATTTTTTCTCTTGTCTTAACAAACAATTAGAACGACAGAATATCATATAACAAAAAATAAAATAATCACAATAACAAAAACTAGCAGCAGGACACCAATAGCACACCACTGCCGTCTATCGTTCGATAAATGTAAAACTTTCGTCATCTTTTTCATAACACTGTCCATTCTGGTATCAGTTCTATCCATATCTCTATTAAACTCGTCTAACATGACTGCCTGCTCGTCGAGTTCGCTACCAATTTGACGACTAACGTTTTTTAAAACCCCAACTCCAGATGTAATTCTATCGATTTCTTCATCTTGAGATTTGATGATTAATTGTTGTTGGGCTTGATGATCTTCGATAAATTTACTGTTTGATCTTTCTATTTCATTTTCTAGTTTGGTATATTTGTTCTGAGGTCGACTAGGTCCATTGTTTAGTAGAGACTGCAAATGCAATATTTTTAAAAGTTTAATTTATTTTTAGCATAGAATCATTTCAATGTAAAATTCCAATGTCTCTTTTTAGCTTTAGAACTTTACTACCTATAGACGAAGAGAGAGCTATTTATACACAACTAACAATCTCTCTGTCTATCACCCCAGAAAATTCCCTGTATCAACCAAACGACGACAGAGTGTGGAGAGTATAGTGCGAAAATGTTTTCGCTTTTATGTTGGTAATAAAGAGGGTGTTTTAGAGTAAAATAGAAAGAAATCCCTTGAACCATCTATATTTTCTCCGTTAAATCAAATCAAACCTTTTCATCGTCAGTATTACAATCGATTTTCTGAAGTTGTTTTAAACGATAAATTATATAGATTCAACGTTCACCATAGAGAAAAATACATTGCGGCCATCTACTACATTGTTATTTCGTAATATGGATTTTATAATAAATTGCACTTGTATAAAATCTATACGGTATATAATCAACATATATAGGTTAAATAGACTAACTTGTCTAACAGTACTCTCATCATTATCAGCTTTTTGGCGAGAGCGGGAGCTGGGATTATTTACGTGATCTTTCATATCTTTTATAGTATACTTCGTTCGTTCAACAAAACTCTTTCTATCTCGAAGTTCTCCTTCGTCGATTCTATATTTTTTTGGATTCTTTTCTACAATGCTTAAAAGAAGAAAGGTTAAGGAAATTAATGTTTAGCCCGTTGGACTAGTAACAGTGATTTTCTCTTATCACATACGTTCACTTTAAATAGCCACTGTACATAAATAGAGCTTATAGGTTACTATAGCAACTAAAAAAAGAGCTGTAGATTTTAGAAAATCAATACATGTAGTTGCTAGTTTATGAATAATAATGATAATTAAAATATATAAAAGACATGGAAGGAATTTGTAAAAGAAAGGAGAAAATACATAAAATCTCTTTTTTTGTTCTATATATAGAATACAGATAAATTGATATTAAAGGATATTTATTGTTTCTTCTAGATCTTCCAGATCCCACTTGATACTACGTAATGAATTTTTTAATTCATTTGTAGTCCAGTCCAATTCCTCTTTGACAACCATCCGGTTTTCGTTAATTAACTCACACCACCTCTGATAGAGGTTTTTAGATGTTTCAACGGCCTTTTGGACCTCGCTGTAAAAAGTTAATTTAATAATGAACTTATATACAAGCTAATTAATAATTTACGGCGAGAAAACAATACGAAAATAGCAATATTTTCCATATTTTTTGTTCTTTAAGTATATAATTCGAATCTCGATTTCCTAATTAGTATCTCTTCATGGCAAGGAGTATTGGATAATTTATATATATATATATATATATATATATAATACAATATATACATATATGCATGTGTTTGTACATGTATATTTCCGTATGTACATAAAGAGATTGACAGGTGGAAAGATTAAGAGGGAAAGGTAGAGGAAGGAAAGAGAATACAGAGACGAACATCAGCTAGAAATCGATGGAAAATATTCCTTCACAATTTATACTCACTCTTTAACAACGAAAAATGGATCTTCGACTGACATTCTCGCCAATTAGTTGTTCATAATCAATCTATCAGTATATTTTTATTCGATTGTCAAAGAAATCTCCTCTGTCCTACCTATTGTTTTTGTCGAAAAATCCACATTAAAAATGGCCGATTAGCCAAACGCAATCACGTGATCAACTTTTGTAAATTTTTTTCTGCGAAAGATGGCGCTCATTGTTCACATGTATGTATACATATACTGTATATACTATATATATATAATTTATACACGTTTGCTTGTATTTAATAAGGATAATTAAGAAACTAGTCTCCAATAGAGTAATCTATTAATACTATTAAAGAATGAAAGATAATTCAAAGGGAAATATCACTAAAGTCTCTACAAAGTATCAAAGTTTTTATTATTTCTCCTTTAATATTTAAAAAGTAAAGATAAATGATAAATAGTTCTATAAGACTACTCTCTCCTTTACTCTCTCCCTCCCTCTCTCTCTCGTGATGTAAAGTTTTTTCACTAGTTTAAATTGTACGCCCCCTGTTGGACAACTTTCAATTGGCCAATTGGCCTATACCATTTCTGTATGTGAATATAAAAGGAAGATATTTACATAAATATTTCATTTTTAGTGTTTACTTGTTGAAAATAACTTTTAAAAGATAGAAAGAAAGTATTAAAACAAGAATTACAGCGCAAATACTGTCAATTGAATATTGAAAAATAAAAGGAAAGAGGTAGAAAGAAAGAGAAAGAAAGAAAGAAAGAAAGAAAGAAAGGAGGGAAGAGAGAAAAAGGAACTTGGAACAATTATATTAACTATATAGAAAAAAAAGATAAAAGTTACAAGAACTAAAATGAAAGCTGGTCAAATGTTGAAAAGTCGCCATTTTTGGAAGTCGATTTTAGCTGAATTTCTTGCTGTACTACTTCTAATAGTAATTGGTTGTAGTAGCTGTAAAGATGAATATCTTAAGCCCAATACCGTTAGAATAAGCTTAGGTAGTATATTATTAAGTATTTTCCGTTATTACTATTAGCATAACTATTTAAATATAATAGGATTTGGATTTACAATCGCTATACTTGTTGGAGCTATATCACACATTAGCGGAGGTCATTTGAATCCGGCTGTTTCACTTGGATTATTTATCGCTAGACGATGCGAATTTCTTCGTTTTATCTTTTATTCAATAGCTCAGGTGGCTGGAGCTATTGTTGGTGCTGCAATACTTAAAGGAATACACGGCAAAGTTATTGGTACGACCGAACCATCTGTTAGTTCAGCGCAAGGATTTGCAGTCGAGTTGATAATAACATTCGTTCTTGTCTTCGTAGTACTGGCTTGCACAGATTCAAAGAGATCCGATTCACCAGGTTTGTATTGATTAATTAATTAATTAATTAATTAATTATTACAGCCTAATCGCTGATATTTAGAAGTATTGCTGAGAGGGAAATTAAAGGATATATGTATACATATTTATAGAATTGACAAATGAATTGAAAAGTAACACATTGTGAAATAAAGAAGTAAAAGGAGTTTTGTTGCAAATAGATACGAAATAAATTAGGCATTGAAAGGTTGACACTAAACGAACGAGGACAATCTGTAACAAAGCTAGCTGAATTTTATCATTAAGATAAAGAACAAAAAACAAATAATGGAAAACAATATCAGATCTTATTACGTTCGCTGATTTCAGTTTCAAGAATAAGAAGCGTGAAAAAGAACAAAAAGTTTCTATTATAATAAATGAAAAGAGAAAATAGTCTTTTGTTGCAAAATGCATGAAATCTAATCTTTTATCGAAAAACGATTTTACTTAAGAACAGAATGAAATTCTTTGTAAAAATTCCATCTGTCTGACTATCTCATTACATTCCTTATTTCATTTGGAATTTTTTCTCTTTCTCCTTTGTTTATTTGTTTATAGTTTTTCTTAAGAAATTACCTTCTCTTTCCAGGTCCGGTTCCTCTAATTGTTGGATTGACGATAATAAGCTGCCATCTCTTTGCCGTAGACGTTACGGGTGCGGCAATGAATCCTGCTAGGGCAATTGGACCAGCATTAATCGCTTCTAAGTGGGGTGGTCATTGGATTTATTGGGCAGGTTCGCTACTCGGCGGAGTTCTATCGGCTATAATGTACGAATATATTTTCGCTTCCGATTCGAGTGTTCAAAAGTTAAGAGCAGCAATCCCCTTGAAAAAGAAGGCGGCCATCGAACCAAAAGAGTCTGATGAGAAATCAAAGGAAGGTAATAACGAAAATTTGGAAGAAAATAAGGTTGAATTACAAGCAGTCAATATTGAAGAATGAAATTTTATATCTTTTATACAAGATATCTAAACGTATTAATATTTTTTTTTATTTCGGCGTTTTTAGTTCTTTTTTACAAAAAGTAGTTTAGCTGGTTTTCTTGGTAACAAAGATTAAGAAGAAGCATTTAAATTTCCCTTCTTTTTCTTGTATACTCTTTCGCTTTCTCTCTATATAGCTCCTCTTTGTATAATACATATGTATGTGTTACTATACAGTATATTGATGCTATTCTTAGTTTATAAACGATTCCAAAACAATAAAAATCAAACAAGAGATTAAATTTTTACTTTTAATTCAATTAAATTTGATTATAAATGTAACATAAGAATAAAATTATAGTGTTATTTTCATCTTTCTTCCCTTCTCTTCCGCCTTGTCCTCATTCTGCATTAGTTTCAATTAGTCATTTTTCTCTATTGTTTCTAATCTAAAACGATAGAGAAAAAGCCAAGGAAAGAAAGAGCACAGAGAAAAAATACAAAGACAATTTTGTATTTTTTGTAAATATAAAAAAAAAGAATCTTTTAAATAAAAGAAAAGTAGAACAGTTAATTTTTTTCCAGGCTTCTCCGAAGTCTTACTAGTTCTAATATCTTTTTTTATAAGCCACCAATACCAACGATATAGTGAATTTATAAGGAAAGATACTAGTTTCATTTTACACGATAATAATATTCGCTACACGTCTCAAATTAATAAGTATTAAGCATTTAACATGAAATAATACTAGTTTCTCGCATTATTCCCTTATAATGGATTTGTTTGACATTTTCCACCGGCAATTGATGATTAGAATGGACAATGTGCTTTTCGTTACTTTTTGGGCATACGCCTTTTTCTTTCTTTATTACCATCACAATAGCGATGGGATGGGACCACACCAAAATTCCATAGTTACTCTGTACATTGTAATTGATTAGACATGTATATATATATATATATATATATATATATATATATATATATATATATACTATATGTAGATTTTTTATCTTATCCTATCCCTCTTCCTCGCTCTCTCTGTTGAATATATGGAATTGATTTTAATCAAAATTCTTTTTCAACTTGATCTTTCTTTTCTCTTGAATCAATTGAAAATTCCTCTATCGATAGTTTTAGACTTAGAATTTGTGTACATACTTTAAAAAGTTCAATATTTATGTTCAAACACCTTTGTTACAATGAATTTTTAACAATACTTTCCATCGTTTTATAAAGTATGTCACCTACAAATATATATATACAGTATACTGTTTATACATTTATACTGTTTAAAGTAATGCTCATACTATCGTTTCCCCAATTACTCCGCTTTAACCTTTAAAGGTTTGTACGTGTTTCTTACTTTATTGTCAATATTTTGATTTATTTTCCTCTCCTTTTTTCAAAGGTATATATCATATTAAAAGTAATTATTAATCTTCATATTTATCACTCTTTTATCTTTTGTTCTATTTCTTACCTTAAAAAATAACGATTGAAATATTACTCTTTCCATTTTTTCTTTAGTTCGATGTATCGTAATAGATGGCACTATTTGTAGATGAATTAACGATAGGTGAGGGAAAAGCGTAATGAAATTAACTGAATGGAAAAGACTATAAAATTAGGAAGGAAAACTAAGAGTAAATAGAAAGAGAGGGTAAGAATGAGCATTTCTAATTGCTATATTGTTTGTGATTATTATAGATTAAGATATGTAGGAGAAAAGAGACGCTGTTATCTTTCTTTTTGATGAGTTAAAGAAAAGAAAAAGAGAAAAGAATAATAAGAAAAAGCAAGCTTTTTTTCTTCTTGTCAAGTGTAAATTGATGGAAATTGCTTTTCAATTCTTTCATTAGATACTATACATCCCCTACGTACAAAAGATGTGGATATATCCATACAGCCTTATAAAAACATATATTACTTATAATATTGTATCGAGTGTTTTCATCAGTTATAATTTTTTAACCTCTCTCTGCACTGTATGTTATACATTCTCCTTCATAATAGATTTTTACATTTGAAAATTTTTTAAGAAATAAGCTAATCCCTTTTCCACAAAATCGGGCTTTGCTTCGCTTTTCCCTACTGTGCAGCTTACAATCGCTTTGAATGGGAAAAGAGTAGGGAAAAAGGGAGGAAGACGGGGAGTAGGAATAGAAGAAGAAGAAGAAGAAGAAGAAATGAATTAATTGTAGAAGTATAAAAAGATTGAAAAACAAGCCAAGAGGTCGAGAGAATGAATAACTGAGGGGAGGGAAAGGAATAAAATAATGAAAAGGAAGAGAGAAAGAAAAGTACATTAATCAGTTCATTGTTTCGTTGAGTTTATCATCAATGAATATGGCTTGCAAAAATATAAACTCACTGTATAAATTGGTATAAGCTTATCGCAAAAATCTTGTGGACATTTATTACTTTTATCGGATTACCTCATAATATTCTATATACATCTTGTAGCACCTACTTATAATTCATAGGCCTAGATGAACGAAACAATGACTTTATCAGTTTGTTGCCTAGCAACTAGCGAGCGAGGCTGATGGTCTTGCACGCAAGAAACAGAGTGACGTCGCTGCAGGTGCAGGAGCAGGAGACACGCTAAAAACCTCGGCATCGTTTTTCGCTTTTTTTTTCAATTGTAGAAAATACGAGTAAAGGTTTGTACATTTTGTATATTACTGTATATATATATATATATAACATTCTCTAAAACGTCAGTGTTTTTTCCCTGTTCCTTAAACTTTTTTTCTTTTCTTTTGTATCTTTCCTTCGCTAATAAGTCATCTTTTTGCTCTCTCTCTCTCTCATCGTTTCCTTAACATTCTGCGTATTTTTTCATTCTATATTTGTTATTGTCATATACGTAAGATAAAGCAATAAAGGCTATCCATTGTAAACATTTATGAATACTATTTGAATATATACACTACATATCCATGTAGAAATGTATATGTGCGTTTTAGTTTTTATCCTCCCTCCAGCACTTACCTATAGATCCCCACTTTTATATCAATTCTATATCACATTTAAAGAAACAATTCATCATAATAACAAAATCAAACATGTATGATAAAAAAAATGAATTTTTTCTACGAAATCATTGATAAGAATCATTGGAAGAGAAAAGTAGAGATTGAAATCATTTTTTTTCTTCCTTTCTAATTATTCAATTATTAGCTTTCTTCTCTTCTATCTGTTGTTATGATTTCAAATTAAACATTAAGAATTTGCCATTAGAGATCGAAATTTTGATAAACACCGCGAATTTTAAGAGGTTTAAAACCGTAACGATGTATGAGTGAACGAATAGATAGATAGATGAATGAATGAATGAATGAATGATTGAATGAATGATGAATAAATGCACAAATAAATTGATATATTGCAACCTTCTTGACGTTAATCATAGGATAAACTTGGTTGTGGGATTTTTATTATATATTTTTATCGTTAATCAGGAAAGTATTAAATGAAAAACATGAAAAGCAGTATGAAAATACATAATAAAAGATATTTTACTCCTAGAAAGCTACATCTCTAGTTAAATAGTGCACTGTTATTAATTTATAGTTATTTATTAAACAAAGTATTAAGATATTAAGTATAAGAAAGAAATTCTATATATATATATATACTGTATATATATACATATATATATATATATTATATTATATATATAAATATATACTGCATATAGAGAATGTTGTATTCTATTATATTCTATGCGAAAGTCTTTTACACCATTAAATATTAATAAAATATCTTCTGGACGCCAAACTCTGGGCAAATGCAAAAACAGTTTATTTTAGGCTAAAAGAGTCAAATTTTTTATAGCTTTTTTCTCTTCTATCTATCTATCTCTCTCTCTCTCTCTCTCTCTCTTTCTCAGTTCTTTACTATCTTGTTACAAACGAAATATTGTGGTGGAAAGCAAATGACAACGGTTTGAATTGTTACAATATTGTAAGATGTTTTACAAAAACATTAAAGTAATTTGTTCGTAGACTCAGATATTTTCGATTCATTATACAAGTATGGCTAACTGAAACATCAAGCGGCTTTAACGCTACATAGACGATGTGGATATTAAGACATATACCGCATTATCTGTAATATGGGTGTACAAATCAAATAAGTATGTAGTATTGTATATATAATGTATGTACTGTATATATACAATATGCGTGGAGAGAGAGGAAAAAAAACAGAGTAGGAAAGAGAGACATATGAGAAAAATTACACACAAGCTTTACACCGCTGTAGATGTATTAAAAATATATTATACTAATATTAAATATGCTAAATTCTAAGACAAGTATGTGGAGAATAGTGTTAGATTGATGCGTTACATCTTCTATTCTCATTAATCATATTTAATTTTACTTAAAAAATTGAGAAGCATTATTCCTTACCTGTTAAAATGCAACTCTGATCGTTTTAAATATAGATATTATAATTTTTATTGTTTATATTCATCAATTTATTTGTTTATCTACTTTTAGGTACAAACTCTCTTTTTCCCTTTTTATAAACAGTATATACTTTCAATCTTATACAAATTTATACAATTATATTTTCTAATATTCAATCTATTTGTTATAATAAATGATATGTTGACTATAAATAATGTGCTTGCGTCAAATTAGACGCCACGGATTTACCGTAACCTCTGTGTGGTGAGAAAAATGCAAGGTGATTTTCTTAAGGCATCGAGTCTTAACAAATAGTAAATCCTTTTGTAACTAAATATATTACAGTCTACGATCGTAATAATTAGAAAGATGGTTTCCTTGGCTACGCATTAATGTTTTCATGTAAAGTACAGGCGTGCTTTTAATAGTCTCATTTAAAAACAAGACAAAAAAAGAGGACAGAATTGAAGAATGGACCAAAAAAGGCAGAAAAAAACTAAGAACAAAACCAAAGGAAAAAGAGAGAGGAAAAAAGATTTTGGAAGAAATTTTCCAAATCTTAAAAGAGAATGAAGACTTAAATCTTAAGAATCTATTCTAACTGGGAGAAAAGAAAGAAATTCCTAAAAATTTCTTTATTTCGTTGTAACAAAACGGCGATAATGAAGTACAAGTACCGTTTCTCTTACAGAGCTTTTCATGAGAATATATTAGATATACAATATTAAGAAAATTTGAAAGTAAACTCGATTGTTTGATAAGACGAATATATCTATTGAACTTGTAAATAAGCCAAGGAAGATTATGCTTATCCCGCCACTTAAAGCGAAAACGGTATTGCAAATTAACACCTTAGAGATGTTTCATGTCCAAATTTTCGCACAAAACTTACGAGTAGACCAATTGCTTAATAACTAATGCATTATTATTATTATTACTGTTCTGATTTCCATACCTATCTTTCGGAAAGCCTATAAACGATATCTTATTATAATGGCGACCATTTGCACTAATTTTCAAATTCCATTACGGTCAAGTTATTGATCAAGAGATTTAGTTGATTAGTTTCTCTCTTGAGACGAGGAAATTGTCCAATTGTCGCATTTATCAAACCAGCCTTAACTATTCTTAATCTCTTTTAGAAATGCCCAAGAAGAATTCGATATCGCCACCGCCTCCTGGAAACGATCTTAAAAAAGAGGATCTTCAAGTTCGAGTTGCGTCTGCTTGGGAAAAATATCAAAAAGAATACGAGAAAAAAGAGCAGTCATCAAACAAGAAATTCTTTGGAGATGATCATTTCGAAACGCCAAAATCTATCTTGGAAAACCTTAAAGAATGTAAACAATTATTCAGTAGTAAACGATTCGATCCAACGTTAGAGTTGCTATATCAACGATACTTTTTCAAATTGAATCAGAATAATATGACTGTTATACTTTTACTATTTTCTTTGGTTTGTATAACCGAAATTGTCTTCCATTACGTCGGTGGATCAAGAACCGTTTTCAAAGGAATCCTACTCGGCTTTGTTGTTCAAACATTTCTCATTATTGGCTTCTTCGCAAACAGAAGTTCGTTTAACAATATACAGGTTAGTTCATTGACTCTTTCAATCGCGCCATTAATTAACACATTAGGTGAAAGACATTAAAGAAACTACCATCAATGCCGATGCTTGCTTTTTCGAAACAAATAAAGCTGTCCAGTAGCTGATCTTACATTTACAGATTTTTGTCTTTCTATTGCAACATTAAGTTTACTTCGCATTTGATGCTATAAACAAAATTATTTTACAAATGAAAGGGAACAAAGATCTTAACAAACCGAGTCACAGCTATAATTATGACAACTTTCTGACTGAAATAGCCAGATTTTGTGTTATAAAATAGCCTTTTTTAATAAACAAGATACGTTTATAAGGAAAACTGAGAAGGTGTCTTTAACTTAACGTTTCTTTTACACCCTTTCGTTCTATTTGCTCAAATTATTACACATTTATCCTCTATATCTTCCCACTGCTAATTATCTTTGCCGATCGAGGTCATAAACCAATAGTAATTGTAAATAAACGGTTATTCTTATTACTATACGGAGTATAGAAAACAGATTTAGTTGAGTTTTCTCAATGAGAAAAAGAAAGTATTAAGGAAAACAATTTTCCTACTTCATTCTTTCTCTATTGTTTCAAAAAGAGTCTTTCTCTCTCTCTCTCTCACTTTCTCCATCCATCTATCAATAAGAATGGAGAAACAGGAAAAGAGAGAGGGGGATGATACATATTCACAAGTATTATCGACAAACGATATCATTTGGAAACAAACAAAAAGAGTAGCTGTTACTCATATAGAAAAAATTGCCTACCTTCTGAAATTGACAATAGCGAAATATTCAAAGGAAAGCAGGAAAATACAGAAGAAAGCAGACACAGTTAGACAGCTAGAGACAGGAACAGAAAGGTTTAGAAAATGTAATGTATACAGTAGATTAGTAGTTCTTTTACGTCAATGTAAAAAAAATGACTTTTATAAGACATTTATAATATTAATACTGGGAAAAAATTATACAGATGACTATTTCCGCCTATTTGGTCCTCTTCCTCAGCCTCATTTTTGTGCTGGTTGTTGCTATTGATGCATCTCCTAGGACGGCGTCTTCGGCCGTTTGGTGTACCATATTTGCTATCTTTATGAATTACACTCTACTTCCGCTACGAATGCGAGTCTGCGTATTGGCTGGAAATGGCTTATCAGTAGCTCATTTGATATCAACAGCAATCGTTAATCGCAGCGATAACTTTATTTGGAAGCAGGTGCTATATATGAAACGTCTAAAAGTGATTGGTACTTAAAGAGTTTGAAACCATAAAGTCTAATGAAAAAGGAAACTAGAAAAGAAATTTGAGGAGAAAATTTTTTATTCAGCCTTCTTTCTAATTCTTTTAAGTTTAATCCTAGATAGTTTTATATAAGATATTCGCCAGCAGTCTAAAACGTTTACTTCAATTAGGCATAGTTTTTTTTCACCTGTCTCTCCCCTCCCGCTTCTCTTCCTCTAAAATACCTTCATTAACTCTTTAATTTCTCAAAATAATATTAATAATAGCAACATTAATAACAATAGTGATATATTGTATGCCTCTAATAAATTCTATGAAAAAAGATATATTAACAAGAGACGTTTCATATATGGCAGATTCTGTCAAACATGCTCATTTTTACGGCTGTTAATTTAGCCGGAATTTTCACTCATTATCCTACTGAAGTAGCCCAAAGGCAGGCTTTCCTTGAAACCAGAAAATGCATCGAAACTCGTCTCAAAGTTCAACAAGAAAATCAACAGCAAGAAGGGTTACTTTTATCGGTTCTTCCTAGACATGTCGCTATGGAAATGAAGGCTGATATCGCCGGAAAGCCAAAGGATTCAATGTTTCACAAAATTTATATACAAAGGCACGACAAAGTCAGCATATTGTTTGCCGATATTTGCGGTTTCACTGCACTCTCTTCACAATGTACAGCGCAAGAACTGGTTAAAATGTTGAACGAACTATTCGCTCGTTTCGATAAGCTAGCTATGGAAAATCACTGCCTGAGGATAAAAATATTGGGCGATTGCGTAAGTAGAACTGTTTATTTGTTAGAATTTCGCCTATAAATGCATTTTTTATACTGTATATACTGTATATATACTAATTAATACTAATACTATACAGTATATGCATATGAAACTAACTGCGTCTTTAAATAGATAAGATTTTGCGGCGAGTACATAAAAGGAGAAGATGAAAACAACAAGTTGACAGTATATATGAAATAACAGAGTTAACAGGGAAAAGATTGCTAAATTTACAAAAAATATCAAAAAAGTAGGCAGTAGGGAGAGAGAGAGAGAGAGAGAGAGAAAGAAAGAGCTCAAAGGAAAATAATTGTTAAGTATATACTAATAGATGGATAGATTAAAAATAGGTGGAGAGTCCGACTTTATAAAATTCGTAATAGACCCAATTTCTTATTCTTAAGAGAATATAAAATATACCTAATACAAAAAGCACCACATACAAAATACAGAGTCGAAGGAAAGACCTCATTATACATGGTATTATACTCTGTACTAAGTATAGTAAAAGGTAAAAGATTCGTTTGCCAAATAATAAATCAGGCGCTGCTTGTTTGTATATATTTTATTCTCTGACGAAATTAGGTAAAATCAAATTATAGTGAAAAAATTGCTTTTCTTCTTTAAGTCGCCTCTTAGAACGCTTAACGAACTGTTCCATTTAACGGTAAAACAGTAACGTAAAGAGGCAGAACTCATTGGAAACAGTTCAAGTTTACGTAAATACGATATATATATATGTTTATATACCTTATACAATGTATACTGTATATATGATATATTGTCCCTTTCATATTTATGGCTGTTATTTATCGATTGTCAGCGCTGTACCGGTTGTTCTTACCTACGAACACGTAAAACTGTCAACTCTTTTTCTGCCGCTAAGTAATCAAACGCTATTCAATATCATAAAACGTTTAGTGACGCCATTAACCCTTCCGACCTAACTGTCACCTTTATCTTTATTAGTTAATTTAACTACAAGTAAACAATGAAAGTTTAATGCGCGCAACAAATTATTGATAGATTTATTCCTATATTATTTTTTCTTTGCTTTAAATAGTATTATTGCGTAAGCGGATTACCAGAAGCAAGACTGAATCACGCTCATTGTTGTGTAGAGATGGGATTGGATATGATCGATGCGATAGCGTAAGTACCTTTGCTTAATTAATATTCAATATAATTAAAATTACAACTTTATTCTTTCAATAGAATGGTAAGAGATTTAACGGGCGTTGAAGAACTTAATATGAGAGTAGGGGTTCATACTGGAAGAGTTCACTGCGGAGTTTTAGGTTTGAGAAAATGGCAATTCGACGTTTGGTCAAACGACGTTACTTTAGCCAATTATATGGAGGCTGGAGGTGTCCCAGGGTGAGTAACGAGCGAGAGAGAGAGCGAGAGAGAGAGTGAGAGAGAGATCGAAAGAGAGAGAGAGAGAGAGACTGAGAAAACAAGCATTATAGAAAATATTTATAGTGCATTCTCTGTATTGATAATTCATGTACTAAAAATAATCTTTCAAAAAGAGAAAGTACACTTTATAAAATAGAGAGTGAGGTATATTATAATAGTACAGTGGCATATTATATAAGCATTGTATATGAACTATTTAGCAATTGTTTCTATAGAAAGAAAGAAAAGAAGTGAAAGATGTGATGTAGAAACATTAGGGATGAAACTCTCTCTCTAATCGAGTTAAGAGACATAATTTTCCATCGATAAAAACACGATATGAAGCAATTTTGCTTCTATTTATAAATATTTTATAAGAATATAAGTTTTTACCAGTTTTTCCTTTCTTTCTTTTTTGAATTAAGATCACCGTAATTACAGTAACAAATTGACTAACAGTGCTCATTTACATAAAAGGCAGCTTAATTACCATAGTAAATTGATTTTATTTATCGACTCATTTACCTTTTAAATACCTTTAAATAGTTGAATATATCTTTAGGAGGGTTCACGTTACGCAAGAGGTTGCTAATCTACTTGAATCTGATTACGAAATGGAGCCTGGAAACGGAACCGATCGACACGAATACTTGAAATTAAATAACATTAAAACTTTTCTTATCAGAAGTGAAGTAACGAGGGTATAACTCTTTATTTTTATCTTCTTCTCTCTTTAGATAAAGATACCGCAATAAACTCTAGTATTTAGTTGTAGATAGTATTCTATTCCTATACATGCTTACCTTTTTATCTTATCACACCTATAGTCTTTTTCTATATATTTTCTCTTTAACATTTTTCATCTTTCAATCTTCTTTCTCTTTCTTTTTTTCTCCTACTGCAACTTTTAGCAAAAGCATGTTACTTCTAAGGTCAGTGCAGCTGCAGGAACTGGACGTCGAATGGGTGCCAACGACGATCCTCAGTCTACTATACATCATAAGTAAATATAATTCTTTTTGAAAAAATGCGCAACAAGCAAAAAAGCTTAGTAAAAATATATTTTCTCCTTTTCTTTATCATTCATGCTAGACTGGGTTTGGGCAAGGATGAAGGGATCAAGGGAACGGAAGATGAAGTAAATGAGTATTTGAGTAGAGCTATCGACGCTCGTAGTATTGATCGACTTCGATCAGAATATGTCAAATTACTGCTGCTTACTTTTAAAGACAAGCAGCTGGAGAGAAAGGTAAGATCCTTGTCAACATTTTTTATAGAAAAATATTATTAATCCTTGTCTATTTTATTTTCTCTTCTTCTCTTCTTCTTCTTCTTCTTCTTCTTCTTCTTCTTCTTCTTCCTTCACCCCTTCTCCTCCTTCGCCTCCTCCTCCTCCTCCTCATCCTCCTCCTTTATTCATCATTATAAAAATGGTCAGTACGCATCCGTCCGCGACGTCATGCTGCGATCTCATATTGCTTGTTGCTGCTTAATTTTGATATTGATTTCTATCACACTTTGCATTATTTTGCCCAGGTTTGTCACTCTTTTTTTATAATTTTATAAACATTTTATATCATTTTACTTAGTTTACTTAGAGATAATAGTCTTATTAACATTAAAAGTAAGAAACGGACGAATTAATCGACAAATAAATAAGATAAATCAATGAACTAATTATCTAATTAATAATAGAGACATCTTTCTCGCACTATTTTCAATACAGATCCGTTGAAATGGGTATTATATTTTCATCTGCAAATCTGGTGCTCTTTATACTATTAATTATCACCTCGGCAGAAAAGTTTTCGGTAAAAATAGACAAACAAAATATATCATTCAACTGTCTTTTATAGCATTTATGAAGGGAAAGATAGTTGAATAATTAGGCCTATATTTAAAAACTTATGAAATATAATATTTAATTACAGTTTTTACCGAGAGACTTTCGTCGCATCTCCTCGAAAATATCAATAAATCGAACCCTTGCGCAAATCTTGACAACGCTTATTGTTCTAGTCATCTTCCTGGCGTCCTTCTTATGTTTCGTAAGTATATCTTTACCTACCTTAGACAATTGTATAAAGGTATTGAAAAGATGTTGGACTTTGTATTATTAAAGATAAAAAGAGGAAATTATTTATTTTCCAGTTTACTATCGACTATAAATCAAATTTACGTAAATGCTTGGCTGAAAAGTTTGGAATATCACTAGATTCTGTAAATATATCTCATATAAAGTGGGCTGGTATAAGTATGAATGACGAAGCGAATATTTGTACAGCTGGTTCAACGTCCTATTTTCCAGAGGTCTGCAGTCATTAACCATTAAACTTTGTTCTTTTCTTTTTTATTCTCCTATAGTCTTACAGAAAATCTCCTTTTCTTTGCTCTTTTTTCATCTTTCAGTATATCGCCCTTTGTGTAGCTGTTTCGATGATATCAAGTGCAGTTTTCTTGAAAGCAAGTACAACTTTAAAGCTAATACTACTAATCGTAATATCTGCCGTTTACATTTCCGTTACTCAGGTAGGTGGAGATTAACCTTTTAAAGTTATTTGACCCGTCCTTTCTTTATCTCTCTACAGAAGTTTCCAGATCTCTCGGTAAACCGAGATTTTGTTCTACACGCGAATGTCGAGTGAGGAAAAATGTTTTTTTAGTAAAGCTTTTAGTAGAAAAAGAGAGAAGAGACTGCTGGATAACAGACGATATTAAGTTATTTCGTTAAAAGCTCGTAATTGCTCGAAGCGAGCAAACATCAATATTTAAGAGAAAGTCAATATTTAGTTTATGCTTTATTTCTATTGAAAAAAATTATGTAGCAGTTTCCCGACGCATCACTTATCTATTCGCCTTAATAAGATAAAAAACTAGAAAATTGAATAGTTTTCTATTTCATTTTACGTAATCGTTAACAAATCGATCATCTCCTTACAGTCGGCAAATGGACGATGCAAAGACTTCTATCGATCTTCACAATGCAACAATAGTCATCCTCTTCATCTTCACCATAGCCTTGTTCATTCATTCACAACAGGTAGAAAGTACGGCCAGAATAGACTTCCTCTGGAAGTTACAGGCTCACGAAGAAAAGGAGGAAATGGAAAGTTTGAGAGACTATAACCTGAAATTAGTTGGCAATATTTTACCTATGCACGTAGCTGAACATTTCTTAAAGACCGTCAATAAGAAGGACGAAGATTTATATTATCAGGATTGCGAGAACGTTTGCGTTATGTTTGCTAGTATATCTAATTTTTCAGAGTTCTATATTGAACTCGAGGGAAACAATGAAGGCGTAGAATGTCTACGACTACTAAATGAGATTATTGCGGATTACGACGAAATCTTATCAGAGACGAGATTTAGATGTATCGAAAAGATTAAGACGACTGGTTCAACTTATATGGTAGCGTCCGGTTTAACAGAGTCTACAAACTATAAGGTTCTTACTTTCTACTCTTCTGTTCTATTACATTTCCTTCTTTTCCCAATTATTCAAGTAAACAATAAAGGGAGTAAAGAATGATATTTTTATCACTCTATCTCTAGTCTTAAACACATTCAGCGATGATGTACTGACTAAGATAAGGATATTAAAACTTTAGCAGCAATTGCTGGTAGTCTCATTACTATTCTAAGTGAGGATGGCTACAACAACAACAATAATAAATAATAATAATAATAACAATAACAGTAATAACAATAATAATAATAATAGTACTAGTAGTAGTAGTAGTAGTAGTAGCAGTATAGTAATGATTGTAATAGTAGTAGTGGCAGTAAATTTAATCCTAACTTAATTTAAATATTCCTACGCATGCCATTTAGAGTAATTGGTCTATACGACCAATATGAATAAATTATGTGATTTATTAATCTCTCTCCTTCAAGTTCAACGCGTGATCTAGTTTAAATGTTTACCGACATTGATTCTCCATGTATAAAATTGAATTTTTTTTCAGGATATGAGTCACGTGGTCGCTGTAACAGAATATGCTTTTGCTATCAAACGCCAATTAGAATATGTCAACGAACATTCGTTCAATAATTTTATGATGAAAATAGGTTGGTGACATTAATTGTAGCATTATCGTAATATTCTCCTTATCTTATTATATATATTTTATTAAAATGTATAGGTATCAACGTTGGTCCTTGCGTTGCAGGTAAGATAATGCTGTCTTGTCTTTTTTTTTCTCGTTCTTTACTTGCTTTCTGCTTTATAGCGTTAATTAGTGAGTTTTCAATAAATCTTTTACTTCATCAACTATCTCTTTACTATAGGAGTCATAGGAGCGAGAAAGCCTCAATACGACATATGGGGAAATGCAGTGAACGTAGCAAGTCGGATGGATTCGACCGGAAAAGCCGATAGAATACAAGTAACGCCCGAGGTCTATGATGTATTATCCTCGCACGGCTACGTTCTGGAATGTAGAGGATTAATCAAAGTAAAGGGAAAAGGTGAAATGTTGACCTATTTCGTTCTTGGTAAAACCTAACGATAACTCGTGCCAATAACTTTTCTCTTCTTCTAAACGATTCCAACAATTCCTTTTTTACAAAAAAAATCTACGTTTTGCTATCAACTGCAATGACAAAATATCAACGAAAAGACATAGCGAACATATCTAAACGTTTGTTTGCTTATGTAAAAGTTCTTTGCACATTTATACTTACACTATTTTGCATATGCACATATCTCAACAATATACATTTATTGTATATTGTCATAGTCTACGTTATTTACATGTTAAGTTTAATTTATAGATAGATGTTGAGCCTCCGTCTGTAAGCGTAAATTCTGATTTGCTCTATTTGCTTAGCTCTTCTCTAAGTATTCCATTTTTTTAATGAAGCTTTCAACAGTTGGCTTACGGCAAAATATTTGTAATAATTAATTAGAAAAGTAAGCTTTTGTGTTATTTTCTACGCGCTTAGAGCATAGACGTTCGCATTCTAGTCAAATTAATCATTTTCTCTTTAATTATTACATTTGTTTTTTCTAGTTGAATTTATTGAAAAAAACTAACGAAAAAGATAGAAATTCAGTGAAGAAATTCAAGAATTTTACATGTTTTTTTGTACACGCCGTTCAATTAAGAGGAATGCAATTAATGCATGGTCTAACCTACTTGTTAAACCATTACAGTAGTTGTTCTCTCTCTCTCTCTCTCTCTTTCCTTTTATTAACTTTATTCAAGTTTTTCCATTGTATGATATTCACTTTAAACTAATTATTCATTTAGACAAATAAACAAGTGATATATTTCTCTTTTCTGTTTTATTATACATTATTACATTTCTCTATTCTTTTGCTTCTTCTTGCTTCTCTGTTCATCAGGATATTACGGTATATTTTATAATTAGGTTAATGTAATTATTAGACTTTCATTGTTAATATTAAAAGACATTTATTCTTAAGAAGGTATTTTGTGTTTTGTTTTTATTCCTTTTTATTCTACGTTCAATTTCTTAAAAGTTCCTGTAACTGATGCTGTGCCATCTCCAACTTCCTTTCCACTTGAGGAAGAGTCACCTACGGCGGTTATACCGTGTAGTTTGTATTTACTCAAATCTTGAAAGTAACTCTCCGACGACTTTAGTTTGGTACAAAAATCGGCGCATAGATCGTCCCAATCGCCTGCATCGCCGCCGAGATGCTCTGGGAGTATGCTTTTAGGAATCGAATTGTGAAGGGAGTGGAGATCGTAGGCGTGAAAATGCATTCTTGATAAAAATTTTGACTTCATAAATGGTTTGACAATTGCAAACAGATAGCCAAAGAATGACGGTTCGTTTACAATATTCATACCCTTTACACGGGCGGGAAACCCATCTTGAAATAAACTTGTAACTAATCCTGCGTATTCTCGAGAAAAGTTCTTAACGTGATTCCATCCCATATCAGATAAATCACCTACAATTTTCACGCCGTGCACTTGAATGTCCTCGAAAGATTCTATAATCCATTCGAGGCTGAGCAAATGCATTTTGAATAAGCAGCTAATGTCGTGGACAGCGGGATCCCATTTTCCTTAAAGGGAAGGGGAACTATTATTAACACACACTGGCTAATTGTAAATTATAGCTTTATCTAACCTGGTCTGAAGATATATACAGCGCAGCCGTCCTCAGTTCTGCCAGGTAGAACGCATGCCATGTTCTTCACTATGATATCCTCCATCATCGATGGATAGACTTTACTGCAAAATTTAGGATTCGACCCTCTAATCGTATAATATTTAATAATAAGTTCTTCTGCCCTCTCCGTGTTGAATTTTCTAGCCCTCAGAAATTTCAGCAAGAATCTATCTTCATCGATTGGACATACCAATTGAGTGTTTTTCTTCAATTTTTCTCTTAATTCCTTTAGACACTCTTCTCTTTTCTCTTTTGTCTCAAATAACTCATTTTCCGCCTTTTTCACAGTCTTTGCATCCAATTTACATTCGTACGACATGATTTCTAATGACCTTCTGCTGAAATACGCGTTCGATTTGTGAAACAGGACAACAGGGTCTCGACATTTGAGTCACGTCACCTACGTCACAAACAACAATATTCTCTAGGCCTACCGTATTCAATTTTATTGACTGCGCATTATAACATTTCTACCGGTTTTCCTCTGAATTAATGATTATTTCGTTCTGTCTTCGAGAAGGGTTAGAGTATTGATATAGAGAGAAATCCAAATGGAGTTGATATATGATCATATCTATTAATATTAAAAAATACGAGCAATGTTAGTTTAATTATTTTCCGTGTATTATGCTTTATTAGTACATAGACATTCTTTAAAATGTATTATCATGATCATCGTGATCAGCATCAGCAGATAACTGTGAACGATTGTATTTCTTTAATTTATATCTCCTTCTTTCGTTATTAACATTGCTCTTTGTTATTAACAGAAAAGCTAAAAATATCTTTCCTAGAGTAATGGCCCACTACGTCAAAATCAAATTTGCTTTTGACTACATCATCCATGTCCAAAGTTGCGTGAAGAATACCTGCTCCACCGAATAAAGGTCCCGCAATAACGTCTCCATAGGGTGATATAATTACGCTCCCTCCATTACTAACCACGTCCAACGTTCCGCTATCATCTAAAAAAAAATTAACACTTTATCATAGTTTTGCTGTTCCTCTATTGCGTTTTTACTGGTGTTCAAAGAAAAACAAAGATAGCTTACCGCTTTCACCATCATCATCTTCTGGATTTCTTTCGAACTTAAATACATCAGGAGGATAATCATCTTTTGTCACGTATTGATTGCAGGCCAGCACATAACACCGACCTTCTCGAGCGATATGCTTAACTGTATTTTGCCATGCTTTGCAGTAGTCGGCATTTGGAGCAAGATAAATTTGCACACCTTGACTATACATTGTCATTCTAGCCAACGGCATATAGTTTTCCCAGCAAATGAGACCGCCTATTTTACCTATAGATGTATCGTAGACCTTTAGCGTACTCCCGTCTCCTTCTCCCCAGAGTACTCTCTCCTTTTCGGTTGGTTTTAACTTTCGATGCTTGCCTAATAAACTTCCATCGGGACCGAAATATAACAAGGTGCAGTAGAGAGTCCCTTGGCTTAAGGGATTAATTTCAATTACCCCAATAATTAAGTATATCGAAAAAGACTTGGCTACCTTCCCTAAGCGATTTGTTTCCTTTCCAGGAACTAAAATTGAGCTTTTGCAGTATTTTAGCCATACTTCTCTGGCTTTACCGGGAGAAGTATCTAATCCCCGAGGATACGCCGAAATGAAAGCTTCTGGAAAGAGAACTAATTCAGCATTTTCATTTACCGCTTCTTTTGTTAATATTTCAATTTTATCCAAAGTTCCTTCCAAGTCCAAAAGCTTTGGACAATCTTGAACAACTGCAACTCGAACTTTCATATTCAATCGAGTGGTTTATTAAAATCTTTCCCTAAATGTTCTCGACTCTGGTTGATTACGCGTTTATTCTCCCTAGTTGTGTTTTGTCTATCTGTTTGTTGATCAGTTTTGAGCACCAGATATAAAGGTCGAAAAATAGTTGCATGTATCAAACAACATCGAAAATCCTTTTCAATTTATCATATTTTGACGAGGAATTCTGAACCATACTAATAGTTGATACAGGCTAAGAAGTCCTAATATTAAAGAATCTGCTTCAGACGGTAAGATTAAAGCAAGGAAAAAGGAAAGAAAAAGAATAGAGGAAGAGGAGGAGGAGGAGGAGGAGGAGAAGACGGAGGAGGAAGATGAAGAAAAAAAGAAAAACTTAAAAGAGAAGACAGTATGTTAGATGCGTTGTTTTCTCGTGTAGTCTTTAATTAAAAGCAAGACAAAAAGTTAATAGATATTTTTTTACTATATTTTTTAATTAATATCAACAAAGAATAAGCATAATTAAATTATTTTAGATAATAAAGTCAATTAAGTTCAGTAATAATTAAGACCGCTCTTTTTTTCATGTTTGAAGAAACTCTTTAAGTATCCTCTAGTCAACGGTTTACGATAAAAAGTTTTTGGTTTGAGTTGTTATATTGAAATTTTCATAGTTTAGCCGAAAATTCAACTTCTTCCAATTCGGTACTGTCATACGCTCCATTATCCATTCCACTCTTCTTCGAATCGGTAGAGGGAAGCGTAACGATTGTGTCGTCTATTTTACTGATCTGTTTGTTGGTTATGATTAAAGATAGTAATAAGCATTGAATATGAAAAAGATGTTACTTCGTGGGCGGAATCTTCTTTAGGTTTTTCTACAATATAGTCTTCACGTGTTGGTTTATAGAGTGGAATGAAACACCTACACCAAGCCAGAGTATTTGAAGGGCAGAAACAACAAAAGATATCGGTAATGGGCATAATGAGCTTAGGATCTAAGTCTTCTCTCTTCGTTGAACCTTATTGATTCGAAGAAATTATATAAAAAGGAAACGTGTTAAAATGAAGAAGAGTACTAAAAAGACGCTAACCTGTTATCCAACTCACTACCAAAGCAACAATAGTACAAACTATTGAAGCTAAAACTCCGTAATACAAATAGGATAAGTCATGAAAATGATTAAAACCGTGTCTTTGGTATGGAGATTTTGTTGGACTGACATACGCGTTTGTTGTGGTTTCGTAAACAACTGTTGTATATAGAGTTTGATTATTTAAAGATGAATCCAATTCGCAACCGGATATATTCATAGGCAAGGTTTTTGATAAAGGCTTATCAATTTGCGCTCCTATTCCGCACCATAAAGTTACTCCCAATGAGGTAACTAAACCACAAACAGCTCCCTGCAATGTATAAAATTCACAAGTAGAGGTAAAAGTTCATCTTTTTTTATACATTTAAGAGGATTTTTGCTGTATTCTTACGTGCTTGTTGATGCAAGGGTAAATGATGCCGCAGGTAAAGACGGCTAGAACTGGGCCTCCCAACATACCAAATAAACCTAAAGCCGCTTGTAGAACGTCTCCCAATTGAGCTGCGACAAATGTCAACCCAATGCAAAGAGCTCCATACAGGACGACAAGAAGTTTTGCGTATAAGGTCGCTCTACCTTCGGTCATTCCCTTAAGACAGGTTTCTCTCAGAACATCTTGTAGGAGAACTGCTGAAAGTGAGTTCAATCCAGAGGAAATTGTACTGAATGATTGAAAAAATTGATAGCGAACATCTTAAAAGTAAAACTAATTCTTTACCTGAGTGCCCCGCTAAATAAACAAGCTGTAAATAGACCAGGTAATCCAGGATAATCTCCTAATTTATGCATAACATATAAAGGTACTAGCTGGTCTGATTTCTCAGCCAATCCTAGTGTAAGGGGATCGCAATCAGCATACTGAGCATAAATTACCATTCCACAAAGTCCACATACCGTTAATAAAGCTGTTAAACCTGGTAAATTAAGCCATAGGGCTCTGAAAAAGGTAAAAAGAGAAAATAGTAAAGCCCTTTGTTTCATTTGAATATTAACTAAACAAATATTATAGGCTTACAAGAAATGTATGAAAAACTAAGAGAGAGAGAGAGAGAAAATGCGTTTAATATGCATAAGATAGGAGAGGAGAAAAGGAGTGAAAAATGAATTTTTAACGCACATATACACGCTTAAGACACACGCTCTCCTCAGCATCTTTTCATCCTTCTCTCTCTCTCTCTCTATCTCTCACTCAATCTTTATGTCTTTCAAGTATCCTTTTTCCTAATATATTATTTATACTAATTACATATAATTTCACTACTCTAACGATTGTAAAGTTTTCGAGTTGAAGTTTGCCTAAGGCCTATTTTTTGTTTACTTTTTCTCAACTAATTAATAGATGTCACTACTATACATTTGAGCATCGCGTAACTTTGGTACGCATAGGGCCCTCTGGACTTGCGATTGGTTAACTCCATATATTGCCAACCAGGTAAACATTCCACCAATCGAAAGAGTCCAAAATGTGTGACGTTTCATTGGATCAGGGTCAAAACTGTTTGTATAATAATAATATTTATACAATAAATCATAATTAAATTTGAAAATTCTGTAAAAGTTTTAGATCAAGGTAATAGCTATTTACTCTTTAAATTCAACTCGACCTCCTTCTTCATTTATTCTCCATATATTGCCAAAACCACCAAAGTCCAAAGAGCCTTTAACAAGAATTGCGATTAGTCCAGCAAACATTGTAATGATTTGGAAAGAGTCTGTCCACATAACGGCTTTCATACCACCCTTGAAAAACAGAAGAGTAGACAATAAAAATGAGTATATTTGAGTAATATTGAAAGGGAGAGGAAGAGAGAGAGAGAGAGAAAGAGAGAGTGGTGTCAGAGGAAGAGGAAGAAAATTGTGTAGAAATAGAATAATTCATATTGAATATTTCAACTATTTCACAAAATTAAATCATTTTGGGTTGAATATCAATTAAAAATTGCATAGTGATCTTATATTTAAATCGCTTCGGATTGTTTCCAACGACGCATATTCATTTAGTATTGGAAATGTGTATAAAATGCATACTAACAATTGTTGTATAAAAGGTACAAACGACTCCCACTGCAAAGACGGATATCCACGTATTCAAGCCGGTTACTTGATTCAGGGCTAACGAAGGAGCGTAAAGAACAATCGCCATGTAAAGAATCATTTGAACGCTAAAGATAATTGCTCCGATAAGCCTTGTTGCTTTATTGAATCTCATTTCCAAGTATTCAAAAACTGATGTTACCCTAATTTTGAATAGAAAGATCTCTATTGTGACAATGAATAAAAGTTAGAAATAGTTTTCATGAAACCTTAATCTAAAAAAAACGGGTAGGTAAACATGCGCAGCAACTGGAATAAGGAGAAGATAAGATATCCAAATCCACCAATAAATTGTTCCGAACTTGTAAATTTCGGCTGGAGTTCCAAGTAGTGTTATTGCAGACATAAAAGAAGCCAGCAAAGATAGAGCAACCGGTAAAATGCTCATATCCCTTCCAGCCATTAAATATTCGCTTGTAGTTTGTTTCCTCTTCCTTCCTCTGAACGCATAAAAAAGACCTATACCTGCAGATATTATTAAAACTGCAACGAAAACAATATAATCAGCAACGTGAAACTTATTAATTATGATCTTCGTCATGTTCAGAGTTTTGGCGAAAAGTGACTTTTAGATTGGTTCATTTGGCCTCGGTCTAACATATAGGCTTAAACTGACTTGCCTAAATGTTGTAAAATTCATAAGGCTAGTCGATAATCTCTCTGTCGTGATAGAAATTGTTATAGATTACTTTTGTTTTTTAAGCTAAAAATATTCTTTATCATTTTTCTCTTTACGTTTCTTTTTGTAAAGTATTTCTTTTAAAAATTACTATTCGAACAATTTCTGTTTGTCCTATTCAATGTTTAGCTTTCTCCCTTCTCTTATTTGTATGATAATATTAATAATTTTTCATCCCGTTTACAAATTAAATTAGGGTCTAACTGAATGGAAAAAAGAACAAAGAGATATTAGACGAATAAGATAGTTGAACATTCAAAATCATCCGCATTATTTAAGAGGAAATGAGTTGTGTATATTTGACTTTAATATATAAATATATATAAGAGTAACATACAGTATATACTGTATATATGTTTACTGGTAATTTTTAACAATAATATTCAAGTGCTTTCTTTTTTATTGCATAATAAAGATTAGAACAAAAAGTTTGATTTGATTTCATATTCGGCTATTCCATTGAAAATCTATGCGTTGTATTTATGAAAAATAAGCCAACGAGTGCAAAAAGCAGGCTTAAGGCTGGACCGACGGAGTTAGAGAGATAGGAAAAAGAGGACTTATTTATTTATTTATTTATTCATCGATTCATTGATTTGTTTCACTAATTCATTCACTAATTCATTCATTCATTCATTTGTTTATCCTCCTCCACTTGTTCATAGTCTATCATACTAGTCTATTTGTATGTACCTGATTGAAATTTACCGGCTATAACTCATAATTTTATCATTAAACACTGTTTGGTTATTATATTTCAAATAGTTTGTGAAAAATATTTACTAAACTATAAAATAGGTGCGCCTTACATATACCGATACCGTTGCTTCGTTGGCTCCTTCCCTCCCCTCCTGCTCTAGTTATCACTACCAGATGGAGCAACGGTATAATTTGGTGCACAATATTTGTTTCCAATACAATACGAGTTATTCGAATTGTGGTAGGAAGTGGGTGAGAATTGTTGGACAACAATAATTCATTTAGTTAATCTCTACGAAGTTGTTGCCGAAAGAGAAAAAGAGTTTTTATTTGCATTTAGACTTTTAGTTCTTCTCCAAAAGAAGAAAGTGCTATAAAAGATTCTTCTAAATTGTAAATCGGTCGATATGTATAATATAAAGTTGGTAACGAAATTCAATTGATACATAACAAAACCAAATTGTCTTGCGAATCTCATATCAATTGATATTTTACGAAAATTGGCCGAATTCGGAAATTTATCAATTATTAATCCAATAACTATAAAAACTCTTGGTGGTCCGACCAAAATGACAAAGGCAAAAGATACTACTAATATTAATTTTGTTGTTCTAGCCGATCTTTTCGATTGTTTACTTTCCTGGATGAGGAACAAAAAATAAGATAATTAAATAAGAAAACAATAAATGCATCATGTTGGCTTTTGTCTTAAATGAAAGTGAATTTTTTAAATAAGCCAAAAACACTATGTCTCCGTGTTGTTATTGTTATCTTTACTTTTTATATCTTTTGTATAGGCCTAAATAAATCGGTTACTAAACCCTGTATATTATTTTTTATTCCAAAATACGCATACATGTATAGGCGAGTGGTATGATATGTTTTATATATATATAGACTCTTTATATTATAAATAGATATACTATGTGGCGTGTGCTCTAATATATAACGTATGCAGTTAAACGTATTCGTACATTTCCAAGTAAAAGGATTGATAATCTCTGACAATTTCTTGACATCTATGATATTTTCTCGACAGTTAAATTCTCTTTACATACCTCTTCTGTCATAGATTTTCTGGCTTTATCAGACTTGTATAATGTATATATAATTGCTATATTCAAAAATAGAGCAAGCATAGCTGGAATATAAGACATAAGTAGTTGCGAAGCCAAAACCAAATTTGGCAATGTTATATCTCTGCATTTTGAATAGCCAAAAGAGCTGTTTGCTTCATCTCCGGCTGAGGGAATTTTATACATACACCAAACCCATGAACGTAAAGGATTTGTTTTAGTATTTAATGCAAAAATGAATAAATTACTCTTATCTTCTCTTATAGAACTATTTACTAATATGGCGAGTTTAATGTTCTATTGGCTTTTATGTCCTTAATACAAATCCGTAATGTTCATGGTCTTACTAATGTTAGGCAATGGGCTATCAATAGGGTTCTCTTTACCGCTTTTCTCGTTATCCAACCAACCGATTGCAGTGGCCATGTTAGGCTAATTAATTTTTGACTTGTTATTATACAAACCAACCATACAGGAATCAAGCAGAAAAAATCAATGCACATTGAATGAAAAATGCAAAATCCTTTATATCTGACAAATATTTCGTCAAATTCCGATATGTAGACTCTTAATAAACCCTGACCGAAATTTAATAAGCAGTTGCCGAAATCTCCTATGGCTAGAGCCGTTAAATGAATATAATAAGAGCTTCTAGGTATTAGTTTCCCCAAAATGATAACGTTTATAAAATTAAGAATTGTTCCAGTTATTGAATTGAATATTGTTGCAATTCTGACAAATTTGTTCATAAATCTTATTACAGGTTGTTGGTTAATGTAGTGCTCTCTCACTGAGCATGGCCATAGAGAGTAATCGGTTATATTCTTTCCCATCGCCGATTCAACTTCCCTTAAACTCACTAGACATTCTTCTTCAGCCTTTCCTTCAACTTCCTCATTTTCAATTCTTTTTACATTCATTAGGATAGCCAGATGTATGGATATATATATGTATATATATATATAGATACATTGATAGATAGATAAATTGATTGATTGATTTATCGATTAGATAGGTAGATGGAGAAAGAAAAAGAGGAGAAAGAAAATTTCAATAAAAACAAATAAAATAAAAAATAAACAAACAAACCCTTTACAATGATGCAGAAGAGCTGGAGAGATTAGAATAAAGGCTACGATTGATAAATAGATATGTCCCATCATCTTATCGATATCTATCTCTCTTTCTCTCTCTCTCTCTCTATTTCTCTCTCTCTCTCTCTCTCCTTATACACTATTTCTTCTATCTATCCTATGATTATTGGTTTACTAGACTTTTTATAGGAGAAAAATGGTGTAATAGGAGTAAGTACGGCTTTTATAACAAAAGGTACAATTAGGTGTGTACAGGAAATCCTACAGTTTTAATTTCCTTTCTTACAATTAAGTCAGCTTTTTTCCAAATAGAAGAACTTTATTTAATTAGTCTATTTTCATTTTTCGTACTCGTTCAACAATTTACACTCAAATATGACTAAGTTTAACTTCCGTATAAAAATTTTACGTCATTTTTTTGTCGTTCTTTCTATAATCATTATAATTATTGCGCTTAATGCTTGCTATATCTTCTGTGAATCTTCAAGATAATCCAAGAGATTATTGTGAGAAAGATTATGCCTACTCCTATAAAAATTATAATTAAAAATTTGTTGAAGGATTCGCTTGTTTCTTTAAATGTTTTCTCTGTCGTGTAGTTGTTTGAGCGGTGGATTTTGGTAAAAAACCAAGTTGTTTCAATCTTTCTCGTGTTCGGCTTGTTCGTTCTCGCCTCTGTACTTTCATCCGCTATGTCGCCGTGAGATGACGATAGAGGGGAGGATACTGGTAGAGATGTCGATGGTAGCGATGACGATGCTGCTGCTGATGTTGATGACGACGAAGCGGACGATAGTGACTGTGATGATGGTAACGACGTGGAGGCTGATACTGATGCTAACGATGATGTTGATGTTGATGCTGATACTGATGCCGATGCCGATGCCGATGCCGATGCTGACGTTGACGATTGTTCCTGCGACGGTGACGTTGACGATGTTGATGTCCACGCAAATGTCGACGATGAAAGCAATTCGTTTTCACGCTTATAAGAAGTACTCGTTGCCTGCGATGTTGTTTCTTCATTCTTATCTGAAGGAGTATAGGTGAAAAGCTGGGTCGTTGTTACTAGTTTTGCGCTTGTATTTGCTTTATATTTGCATTTATTTGCAACCCAGCTAAAATCTTCGACTGGACCTACATAGTTGTCGATCGTTTCTATCGAATTTTCTTTTGTAGGGCAATCCTCTTTATCAACATTTTCGTACCCTGAGGTAATTGAAAAGATGTTTTGTCAAAATAATTGGTATAGGAAATCGACAGAGTCAAAAATCTATTAAATGAACAAATCATTTCTTTGCACGTATTTACGTCAAGATTAATAAGAAAGAGAAAAAGAAAGAAGAATATATGTTCAATACTCGTACCGCAAGCTTTGCAACTTTCTTTGCAGTTTTTAAGAGGCCAACCATTATAGGATTCGGGTTTGCACGATTCGACCAAATTTCTCTGAAGAACCTCATTTTTACAGTTGGGGTGAGAATCAACGCATTTTTGCTCACATCCAATACCCATCCAGCCCAGCTGACATTTACACCTACAATTGCAAGCAATACCGTTTCTGCAATTGACTTTGCAACCGCAATTGAAGCATTTCTGACGAGAGCAAAGGGAACTTTGATAGCACCATAGATCAAAGGATGAGCATTCCGTACAAGATTTACCCAACTTGTAGGGTCTTTGATCTTTAAAGTTTCCTCTGAAAAGAAAATGTTAAACATTGAAAAATGAATTGCTTGTGATAAGGTTTAAAACCAAATATGCTAAATATTTGTTCAAAATGATCATTTGATTTCTGTCAAATACAGTTCACCAGGTGTTCTATTTCGTTTATCTTGTTTGTGAGTATATAGTGTTTATATACAGTATTGACGGAATATACAGTATGTACTGTATACAATATATATATATATACTATAGATATTAGTATATATATATACATTCTCTATATATGCCCTTTATACATTTATTACTATGCAAAAACAAAGATAGCTTGCAATTGAAATTGCATAAAATATAGTAACTAATTGATTTCTCTAAACACAAGTATACAATATAAAATTAGCCTGGATATATTCTAGAATATTGTTGATCTAATGGAAAAGGAAGGATTTTAATCCAATATATGGATCGGTACTCGTATAAATACATTTCTTACATTTCAATAATAAATTTCATTGTAATATAACAAACTGCACTGGAAAGTATGTAGAATTTACAGAAAAGGTGTGAGTAAGTGAGGGAGGAAGAGAAGGAGAAAGAAAGAAAGGCAGATAGCAAGATGGGATTGTAAAAAGTTTAAAAATAAGAGATTTCAGATTTAGATAACACAAAGATGGCGTTTTTAAATCACATCCCATATAGTAGAATATTATCCCAGACTCGATCGGTATAGTACAAAGATTGCCCAAACAAATAACAAAGGAGCCTATCTTTTAATGATTTGCTTTTGTATGCTTTTTTTGTATTCAAAGAGAAGACATTGCCTTGTTTTCGTTTTTTTTCTAGAATCTCTGTCAGTCTATCTGTTTTCATACTCTTCTCTATCTCTGTGTATGTTCTGTGTGTATGAGAGAAAGAGAGAGAGAGAGAGAGAGAGAGAGGGAATTCTTTCCTTTAATAATTCTTCCAAGCAGTTTGTTTGAAAATGTTTGTTTTTAAAATATTTACTTTTGAATCAGAGTAATTGATGTTTTTTTGTATCTTTTTAATCATGTATTTTCCCTTATCTTTTTCTAATATCTGTGCAATCTTATTCGGGCATACTTTGTATTTATGTGTGTAGTTGCTTTCTCCTCTTCTTCTTTTTCTTTAATAATTAAGCCAAGTCCAACATTTCCTGTTGATTTTTCCCATTTATTTAATTAATACTTTTATAAGCATTAAACACTGCATTTAGCAGAATTCATTCCGCTTATTCTCTGTAATCATTTTTTTTCTCGTTTTTCCTATGACGTCATAGTTGTTGGAAAACTCAAGATTAAGCAAATAGGCTTAATACTTACGCTGGACTGTAATTGCAGACGAGATAATGAGCCGACTTGTATTTCTTATTGTTTTTGGGATTTGTCAAAAAATCGCACAGCTTGTAACCACATCCTATTTGAAAACTATTGTACCAAATTAACTGAGTATAATGTCCGCACATTTCTCCGTTACATTCATTCTTATCGTAGTCGTACCAGTCCTTTTCATAATCATACCTGTTAAAAGATAAATAAGAGAAAGAAAGAGTTTGTGTGTTTCCCTTTTTAGAAATATGTCATATCTTTAAAATATCTAATCAAATATTGAATGCCACCATTTTCTTTTGCTATTTCAAATTTATAAAGGGTGAATCACTATTCTTTGCGCGTCTCCTTTGTCATTTATACTTAAAGATAAATATAGCCAATCTATCTATATATGTATATATTTATGTTAAGATTTTATACATACATTTTTTCTCATGCCCTCTTCTTATAATAACTTTTTCAGTTAACCTTTTCTTTTTATCTATTCAGATCTCAAACATTCTAATTACACGTTTTTTCGTTCCTCTTTTCTCATGTATATAGCCATACTTGATTTATTAATATACATTCTCCAATGTTAATTATCACACCTGTTAACCCAACTTATCTATAATTTTTCCTATGTTGTTAAGTATTTAGTAACCTAGTTTTAATCTCTTTAAACTACATTTATATAGACTTTTCTATTTTATTTTTTAAACGTTTGTACAGTTCATCCACTGTATTGGTGTTTATTTGACCTTGGAAATATTATACTTGATAGAAGAGACTTTAACCCTTGTGAAACGTGCAGATACATTAGTTAGCCAATAAACGTTTACTATTTACTTTTTTGTTTAAGTATAATTAATTCAAATAGTAATTTGCGTTGGAAATTTCTTTATTGTTATGTTTAAACGTTAAAACTACCACTTATTTATTTCTTTTCCTATTTGTTGCCTCTTTCTCTCTCTCTCTCTCTCTCTCTCTCTCTCTCTCTCATCCAACCCTCCAACAACCCAACCATCCATCTATCCCGCTTCCTTTTTACGTTGTCATTTCATCTTGTATTCTTTCTTTTTTTTACTGAAAGAAAATCAAAGAATTCTTCGTCTACCCTCTGACGTATTCTTGTAATTTCATCCCATCCAAACTGCCGCTCCCAAAACTCATCATACCAACATCTTTAGCCGCGTAATAAGTACGGCATATATTTACTTAGTAATTATATACGTACACACCAATATATATATATATATATGTTTTTATGTGTCTGTTATTTGAATGTAATAGTTCCAACCATATTTACGAGTTGTTTAATAATTTTCATTCAAATAGAC